TTTTTTTTTAAACACCTCATTTCCCTGCAATAAACAGAAATTCATTTAAAAGAAAAACACAGGTCTACTCTGGGACCATATATCTCATAATAAAAAATGACAAAAAAAAATTCATGCTTTTCTTTATAGTTTTTTTTTTTTTTTTTTTTTAATTAATTTTAGTTTTTGATTTTTTGAAAATCTTAAACAAAGTTGAATTCCAAGAAAACAAATATAGGAGTGTAGGGTTTTCCAAGCCCTACACCCCCATACATTTATTTATTTTTTTACGTATTTTTAGGGGGAGAAAAAAAATATTAAAAAACCAGGCCGCGGACTGGGCCTCATGGGCCGCGGCCGCAGCCGCGGCCGACTTTTCGGGCCGCAGCGGCCGAAATGCCCGCGGCCTAGGCCACAGGTGTCACATAGCGTAAACCCATTCTCTCGCTCCACATCCCCGCACCATCTTCCCTTCTTGCAGCGCGCTCCCTTCCTGCATGCCTCTTCGTCTTGAAGTTCCCTCTAAGCGAAGTCCAATCCCCTCCTTCTCCCTTCCCTGCGAACGATTAGCTGTCTGATTGGGATGGTCGGGTCAATGTGGTGGTAGCGAGAAGCGCATCCCACTTGGACGACAACCCCAGTCACGCCGATCATTCGATTCGCCCCCCTCAAAACTCACGGGGCGACCACTAACCGAGGCACCTCGGCAAAGTTCGGATTAATCCGAACCACACTGACGACAAATTTGGATTTGTCACATGCTCAGACGGTATTTACGACGCCGCACGTTCCCATAAATGTGAACGACGAAATCACACGCTGTCAAAAGACCGTTCCGTTTCGGATTAATCCAAACCACACCTTCGACAGGATAGAGTCCACCCTCTGCTCATAGGTCATTGAGGAAAACACGCCTTGCCGATGTCCTCCTCTTGTGGTCGGCCTAATTCGGATGCATCCGAGTCACAACGTCGCTCTTTCGACTCTGCCCAGTTCGGATGTGTCCGAACTACCACGCTGTCTTCGTCTTCCAGAAAGCTGCCTCGGATTCATGCAACTAAAACGAGTCGAGATGGTTACGCTCGGTGGAAGAAAGACGAGCTAGAAACTTGTGCTGCGACTGCAGCAAACGTGTCTATTGTTTGGATTGGGCGAGCAACAACCAACTAAAACTCACGACGACGACGATATCCCCCGTGATGACGCACAAATTATAATGACATACTACGGCAATCGCGGGGAGGTCCGCTGTGTGGTGGGGCGACAACAAAGCGAAGCGCCTCGGCGAAGTCGGATTAATCCGAACCACACCGGTGGCATTTTCGGATTTACCACATGCGCAGAGGGTATTGACGACGTCGCACGGTCTGATAAACTTGTACGTCGAAAGCACACGGTGTCGGCGCAGCCTGTCGTGGTCGCACGTATCAGGACAACCTCTGTCGAAATCGGATAAATCCGAGCCACACCCGTCTTAAACACTCAAGGACGAAGACACACCGTGCGAAATTCGGTTGGACCCGACGACAGCTGGGGAATAACGGAAGCTTGGATGGCTGGATGGGCGTCAACAGACCGTGGGGTCCTTCCGCCGGTCCCCGTCTCGGATTAATCCGAGCCATATTTGCGAAGTTAAGGTTCAACTGAACCGAACCTCCGGCAGGATAGGGTTAACCCAGTGCTCGCAGGTCGGTGACGAAAACACGTGCTGTAGATGACCTCTTGTGGACGACCGTCTCTGGACCGCACTGTTCGAATTCGGATGCATCCGAGTCACAACCGTTACCGACTCAGAAGGACAAGAAAACTCGAGTTCGGTTTCGTACGGGCCGACAGGGGGAGGTCCACACCGCTTTGGAGCTCGGATTCATCCGAACTACAACGGCGGACTTTACAATCCACTTGTCGACCTCGGATGACAACGTATTCGCCTTCGTCTGCCGTATCAGCGTTCTAGGGCCTTCTTGCGAGGTGTTGCTTTTCCTGGGCAGGTGCCTATGCAAAATCGGTTTTTCGACTGCGCCTGCTTCGGATGTATCCGATCTATCCCACGGTCTTCGTTCTTGAGCATTCGTTCTCTAAAGGGCAGTGTGACGAGGATGGCTGACGATGCCTCGGATTCATCCGAAATATGCAGGCTTGTGGACCACTCTCGTCTAACTATGACTGAACTTCGTTCTTTTGGAGTCCGGGTGACCGATAACAGAATACGTGCCGTGGGTCATGGATGATGTTGGGACATGCTGGCTGTTCTGAGTGAATGTGGGTTCATTTCCTCCGTGTGTTTCAAGGAATGGCTTCACACGGAAGACGCCGCTCCGCTGGTTGTTCCGCCCTGCACGGAGAGGAGCGTCGAGGGACGACGTCGTCGCCGGCAAGGGAAACAAGTCGGGGAGTTGGAGGTGGGGAGGAAGAACCACGTGCTCAAAACTTGTGATGCGACTACAGCAAACGTGTCTGGTATTTGGACTGGGCGAGCCAGGACGGCTCCGACCCGTTGCAACCACCGTGCGGGCCGTTCTTGTTCGTCGCCGTTCGCGCCGACAGAACGCGTCTCGCAGGGTCCATCATCCAGTGGGTCGACGATGGCGAATACAATTTCAAGTTTACGTTGAAGAAGCATTATAGAAGTGATGGTTCTATCGACGGCATCGCAAAGGGATGCAAGATTGCCAGGAAGATGTTCGGCGGGTACGACCGTCGTGCGATGTCTTTGCCTCACTTTCTCCCGCTAGCGCCGGGGCACGACGAGGCCGTTCACGTCACAGACTTCCTCGAGGTCTGAGCGAAATCTGGTACCTCTGTCAGTGCCGTGGACGTCGGACCTGGAACATCGATCATGGGTCTGTTAGGTTCGCGGGAGGAGAGTGCTCTGCAGGGAGATGGGAGGTCAGGGTGGCCTGCCAGCTACGCCTCCTGATCAAGAGGTGGGCATGTCAGACGACTCGGAGGACGACCATCCCCGTGCTCCTTTGAAACCGGGCTTGCATGTATCTCGCCGCCACGGTTTGCTTGGGGAGTCGACACCACATGGAGGCGGCGATGGCAAACGGTTGCGACAGGGCTCAGAATCGACGACTCCTCGTTGTCTGGTCGAAAGGATCGGTTCTTTCGTTCGTGGCATGCAGGTGGTCGGGGTTTCGCCTGGAGATCGAGCGGGTGGTGCGCAGGTTCGAGAGGTGCGTGGGTCAGATGAGACGACTCGCCGGGCCCGACCAGCGCCGGGGGAACTGCAGACGGAGTTGAGCCAGGAACGAGAAGCAAGTGGGAACGTCGCCGGTAAGGAGGAGGTGTCCGAGCAGGGGCTGTTCCGTGAGAGATCGRYTGAAAAGACTCARWCGGGAGGCAAGCGCAACTTGCCKGATGAGGAAGAGCGAGAGGGACTAGGTGCTCTGAAAAGGCAGAGAAAGGTAGGAGGGAGTGCTCGGACGCCAACAACACGAGAGGGCGGTTCCGTTGAGAAGAGGAAAAGGGTTGGAGGTGGGGATGAAACGCCAAAAGACTCGCCGACACAGCAAAGAACCGGTGAGTCTTCCGGGAAAAGGGCGAAATCATCGAGGGGGAAGAAAGCAGATGAGGGCGATAGCGGGGAGGGGGATGACGACGTGGAGATTAACCTCAACGCCTTTCACCTCGACAATGCGTTCTTCCTCGAGATGCAGACAGGGGTGCAGAAGGACGTCGTGTTGCACATCCATCCCGAAAGAATATTAGCTATTCCTGACTGGGAAGACGCGTACAACCACCGATCCTTGGACGAGTTCCTCGTTGATACCATCGCGTCGGCTATGATCGACTGCTACGAACGTAAAGACATGAGATACACGAAGCCCATTTTCGTTCTCGCTCCGATCGTAGCGCCTCCAGAGAACGGCGAGCCTGCTGTGCGCATGCTGCCTGCTGACTTCGACAGCTCACACGCGGAGAGATACTGGTATTATCCTGTGTGTGGACAGCATAACGCGAGGGCGGCGATGATGGTGAAAGACCATCCCGTGTTTGATTACTACAACTTCTGTAAATGACCGTTCAGACCGATCTACTTCCCTGACGACGAGTTCGACGGCTACACCCATGTCAGCTGCGAAGACAACATGAAAGACAAGAATAATCCACCGTGCTTGCAGGGTTTATCTATGCGGGACATTCGCAATATCTGAAAAATTAAGGGCAAACCGCGTGTGGTGCTCGGCAATGCCTCGAAGAAACAGGACGAGGTGCGAAAGTGGGTGCGGTTCATGGCGTTGGCAATGAAGAAGACGTCGTACACGCCTATCTGAAACCTGTCAACGGAAGCAAAGAAAAGAAAGGAATAGGCTGAAAAACTTCGATACTACCTCCCGCTGGCCATGGCAGATGACTTCGTCTTCGCTTTGGGGCTGAAGTTCTATGAGGAGTGGTCGAAAGGGAAACTCCTTGCTTCTGACGGCCGGCGTTGGACTGAAAAGCCGCCCGCCCATGAGGAGGTGGCCAAGCCAGAACTCTCCACTGTGACTGACAGCCAGGGGCTGAAGAAACACGTCTGGTACGTGAAGGTGGACGACCCGTCGTTGAAAAAGGGCAGGGGGAAGCCAAAGAAAGGCGCGGAGGAGAAAACTTTCTACGTCCAAGTTCCAAAGCCGGATATCCACTGCTGGAAGGAATTGGTGGACTTGACGGACCGCGAGAAGAAAAGGCTGTTGAACGGCGTCTTGAACCTTAACGTCGTGTGGGTTCAAACGAGTAGCAAAAAGTTGGCTGAGCAGGGGAAGTTCAGTGTCAAGGAGATGGTCGACATAATAAAAATGGACCGGATTATGCTGAGGCTGTGGCACTACGTGGAGTTCGAGTACGAGGAAATGGATAAGCGGAAGTGGAATGCCAACTCCACGTTCTTTAGGTCCAAGAAGCAACTGTTCGAAGAGTTCAAGGACAGAGGTCTCGACGACAAGCTTTGGAACGAGAGCATGAAATTTTTCACGGACACCACATACGTCAACAAGTGCCCTCAGTTTCTCGGGTATCAACACGACAACAACATCAAGAGAACGACGGCCCTCGTCAACGACCAGCATTTCCCGGCGGAGTGGAAGCGTGTCGTCCTTTCGGTGATCACTGGAGATCGCGCCAAAGGCAAAAAAAAAACTCGGGGCGTTGATGAATGCATCAACATTATGTGGACAAGGACAAGCGCCTTGATGACGCTAGCCCAGTTTAACGTCGACCCGTTGAGTGCCATAGATCATAAGCAGGCGCTGGGAAAACTAGGGCATCAGCTATGCTCCTACACATGCGTGCTCGACTTGTGCGGTGTTGTGGACCGTGCGCAATGGGACTCTGGGGCATTCGCGTCTCTGAGTGAGTTGTTGGGCTTCATTTGTCAGGACTACTGGACATTGGTGGTATTCGTCCCCTGCCTGTGGAACCTCTCCTTCATGACATGTTTGTCTGCGCTTGGGGCTACCCGATGCTACACGGGGAAGTGGGTTCGGAAGACGGCATCGAAGAAGACGCATCAGTTCGGAAACAACGTCTGGGAGGAGCTGGATGTGATGCACATCCTTTTCAAAGGCGAGGATCCTCAGCTACTGACTCACCCGGTGTACGAGGGAGCTGTTGCTGAAGACGACGACGCCGCTCTCTTGAGGAAACAAAAAGTGACACCCACGGATGTGGAGGAGAAGTCTTTCAAGTCTTTGACTTTCGCGGACATCGGAAACCTGACCCAGAGGAGGGCTCTGTACAAGGACGGCGAGCGAAATCCGAATCAGTTGTGCAATCAGCTTCTTTTCTTCTGTGGTGTGGCGGATGCCGTGCTGTTCTTGGGCAAGCCGCACGCGCAGGTGGTGTGGAGTCTGCTTCAGCAGGGAAGGCACGTCTTGGTCGTGGATGGGGACACAACGCAGCTCGAATACACCGTGCAGTATGTCACCCATGAAGTGYYGTCYAARGCTTACCCATGCGATTTCCACCATGTCGTGGTCGAGCCCGTTTATGACCCGAACAAGGACATGTTCTTCAAGTTGACTCCGAAGAAAAGGCGCCAGGTCTACTCCTTCCTTTACGGTAAACAACCAAGATTGAGATTTGACCCGCAGTACGTGGTGCGGAAGGAAGTCGCCGTTGCGGTCCTCCAGGGCTACCACGGAGCGAGTCGGGCCGGCGCTGTGAGCTTCATTAAGAGGCTGGAATATGTCTTTTTTAACGAGGATGTTGTCGATCCGGCAGACTTCACTTTGGATAAGTACAAGCTGGCATTCGGTGAGGAGGTCGACTTCAATATCGAGACTGAGCAGGAGGAGAGCGTTGAGGACGACCTCTTCGATTTGGACGGGCAATTGGCCATCTTCAACGCCCAAGTTTCTGAGTCGCCATCAGTATGCAAACCGGGTACACCTCTCGCTACACCTACCTCGGGCGGTCCCACGCCCGTGTCCTCCTCAACGCCTGTTAAGAGGGGTGGGTTGTCCCGTCTGAGGAGTTCGCCGGGGGAGCCTATTCGTCTCACGCCGCAGCCCAAACGTCTTCGACCCGGCCATCCAGTTCCTCCGGACCATCCGCATCTCAAGGCTCCTGCGACTGCCTTCCACATGGGCGACAAACACACCTTCTCCACAGCCGAAGATTGGGGCCATGATATCGTGTGACACCCAGACCATTTCCAGCCAGTCCTTCTCGACGGCGAATGGGCAGTGGTTGTGAGGGACGTAAGTGGAGGGTGGATATATGACGATCGTTGGGACCTCGAGACATTCAAATCCCGCGCCTACGATGCGGTATTGGAGAGATTAAGTGAGGTCAATCGACGAAATAAGGACGACCCTGCTCTTCGCGAATACGGGGACACACTGTTCGAGTTCTTGCAGTCAAATAAATGGCTAGAAGTGTCCTCCGCGTTCTACGCCCTTCTGTCAAGCCCGTCAATTAAGCAAGTGAGTTGGGAGTTGCCTGGGGTCACCCCGCCGGCAGGAGTTGTGAAGCGCAAGTCTCGCAGAAAGGACGGCGACGGGGATGGTGAAGGCGGCGGGCAACGAGGTACCGAAGGTGGAAGTGAACAGCGATCGACGAAACAACGGTCTCCGGGGCACGCAGGCGGCGGAGAGGGGAGAAAGGGCACCCGGGAGAAGAAGAAGCCTCGCAGCGGAGAGAAGACAAAGCATCACAGAGGAGACGGGCACGGGTCCGATGTCGACCGCGACGAGGATGTTGGGGTTCTGGCGGTAACAGGCAGCACCTCAATGGAGACAGGGAACGACTTGAGGCCTGGGTATATTACGCGGCCTGGCGAGCAGGACCCTGTGATTAGCTCCACCAACGAAACATAGTTTGTCGATGCGGTTGGCGGGCCGGGTGTCGCAAAGCATGGAACATGCTTCGCTCAGCTCCAAATACGGTTGGCGGATTGTCTCGGATCAATCCGAACCTCGGAGACGACCTCGTTGTCCGGAACTCAGTGCCTTCCGGGAAGCGAGACGGCAACATACCACGGGTCCGGCAGCGACAAGCTGGAACCGTGTTCCGTTTCGCCTCAAAAGGAATTTCGGATTAATCCAAACCGTGAAGGCCGTGTCATCGAGGGAGCACAGCTGTCTACAGAACTCGAACGGGTGGTCCGGGTTTCGAAAACCCTGGCGACGAAATTCGGATTCATTCGAACCAGGAAGCCGTGTCTGCCATGACAGATGATCGGTGTCAGGATGCAGTAATGCTCTGCGTGGAAGCCCACAAGGAGCTGCAGGCGGACTGTCGGACTGAGGGTGAGTTGGCGACCAGTTCCAATGTCGAGCCCAACACACTCGGAGCCGAGTTACCAGCCGTAAGCGACTCCCCGGTGAAAGCGGTCATGTCGGCGTCATTGGAAACTGCGGGGGCTCGGATGAATCTGAACCGGGGCCCTGTGAACATCTCCCTCCCTGATGCATCTCTGGAGACGACCATGATTCGGATTCATCCGAGGCACACAGACGAAGGACTTCAACTGGCAGGCGTTGAGGGTTGTCGACTACTGACGACTTTGGACAAGGACAATTCCGTCGACGACCGGATTGATCCGACACTCAGCGACGTCAGGATGGAGCTACCAGTTCAACCGGGATACGACGATCCCTTGTACTCCGCCCTTCACAACAAGGCGATGGGGGAGGACGTTCTGAAGAAGGCCTCTGACGCTGTTGGAGATAGATTTCTCTATTTGAGTGACGGCGACAAAGACACAGCGTACGGGGACAAGAAGTTAAAGGGGGGAGAGGTGTTGTTGGACATCCATAGGACATTGAGCCCAACACAATACGACACAGTGGCAATGGAGAAAACACAACCTGTCGATGTTGTGGACGTCGACGATCTTTGTCCGGAGACGAATATACCGTCTACGGTCATCGACGCCGACATCTCGAGCCTGTCAAGTTTCCTCTGGGTTTGGAGCACGTTGTCGCCGCGTCGACGCGCGCAGGGGTGCCAATCGTGCTGGGATTGCCGTCAGTGGGCTCTGGTGAAGTGGTAGCTAGGCCTGGTAAGCACTGACTTTCTCTGCTTTCTTCCCGCTCGTCAGCCCGTTCGTGAAGTGTTGTTTGCTTCGTCGATTTCCGGGAGGTGTATAGGCGGCCGCCAACTGGATTGTGACGATGTGCTTCATGAGGTGTTGTTTGCTTGGCTACTTTTGCGAACTTGTGTTGTTGATCTCCTGCTGAACTGTCTGGGTGGCTATTTCTTGTACAGGTCGACGAACTCGTGGACAAACACCCCTGTCGCAGGACCGCCTGCCCTCGCCAGGTTTTCAGTCCTGGCTGCGGGAGGTACTGGTCGTCGCAATGTCACTGATGCGTTCCCTGGGGACACTAAGCCTCGAGGCCCTCCCAGAAGGGTAGTCGTGCCCGTATTGGGCTCCCGCGCAAGACTCGTTGCAGAGGCGGCGGGTGTTGCCGAAAAAGACTGCAAGGAATTCCTTCTCGAGGCTTGCAGGGATATAAAGGACAGTGCTAGTTTAGAATCAACTGTGTGTGGAAGGTCCAGAAGTAGGGGTGATGTTATGCGTGAACTTTTCGGACCACAGAGTAGCGGTTCCTCGGACCATGGCCGCTAGGACGGCATTTTCTCATAGTGCACCGTCCTTTGTGCTTGCTGTGTGTTGCGGGTGTTTGTTGAACAGGGTTTCCTCGAGATGGAAGAGCGGTCCTTGAAGACATTATCTGCTCCCGGTTGCCGCTCACTATCATCGTCACGCGTTTGCCGTCTCACAGTTTACAGGTATCCGTCAAGGACATCGTCGCACTCGTGGATAGATCCGGGGAGCTCAACGATGAGGTTGTCAATTTCTACATGGCGATGCTACCGGACGACTGCGGTCGGACTGCCGCTACCATGAAGACATACACCTTTAACTCCTTCTTCGCCTCTTCACTGCTTCTGCGAGGTTCGGCAGTTGTCCTCAGATGGGCTAAAGATGTCGACCTCCTGTCTCATGACCTCGTCTTGGCACCAGTGCACAAGGACGGCGAACACTGGAGTCTTTTGGCCATTGACTTCTCCAGACGTGTTTTGGAAATCTGTGATTCTTTCTCGTGTTCGTCATCCAAAGATTCCTTCTACTCCGCACTTTTGGATAAAACTGTTAAATTTTTGAACACGGTGGCAGGTGTCGCCGGTGATGGTCGCACTTTCGACCACTTCGCTCGCGAGGTCAGCGTGAAAGGTGTCCCTCGGCAGCACAACGGGGCTAGTTGTGGGGTGTTCGTGTTGATGTTCCCTACCTGTTTGGCGAGAAGTTTACGTCCACCTTTTGGTTTCTCCCATAGACACATCTCCTCTATCAAAGCTAGACTAGCTTTGGCGATTTGCGATGTTGGTAGGTAAACGTCTATTTCTTTGTTGATCATGTAATGTAGAAGGGTTGACGTAGAAAAACATTTCGTTCTTCTCCGGACGAAATTTGTTCCTTGTCATTTTTTCCGTGAGGGACGGGTGAGTGTTCTCGGTTTGGTTCAAAGCAGAACTGATTGTCACTGCCAGGAAATCTCCGGATGAACTTGTCATGTCCCCGGCGTGTTTGTCGTCGACAATATTGTTCTTTCTTATTGGATTTCAATTATCACGAACGTCCCCGTTGTTGGGGCGCCTGTTTCGTGATTGAATATCTCGCTTTCGTCATTTTGTGCCTTGTGTGGTGTGATGTTCTGCCGGCATACTCGGATACATCCGGACTCGAACTAACTCTATGCTTTTCTGCCTCTCTCCCGAACCTCCCCCGTCGTCTACACTCATCTATGCAGTTTCACTTTGAATGTTGTGAGGCGTCACAGAGAACAAAATACAACACACGGGCCTCTTTATACATTTGATGGCCCGTCTGGCTGTGTGTCCGAAAATGGATTCAACGCGGGTTCCGCGTTGAAAAATTGAACGCGCGTTCAATTCGCGTTCAATTCCCGTTCAAATGTGCGTTGGACGGGAATGAACGGGCCCCGCAATTATTTTTTTCTGGGCTAAATATAATCAAAAAAAAAAAAAAAAAATCGAGTTGTAGGTCTTTTCGAGGACTACAACCCCATATTTTTATTTTTATTTTTGGATGTTTGAATATATTTAAAAAAAAAAAAAAAAAAGAAAGTAAATAAGTGTTTTTTTTTTGGGTTTCAAA